GTCCTGCCTGAACTCCCCCCTGAGGGACCATGGTCCTGCCTGAACTCCCCCCTGAGGGACCATGGTCCTGCCTGAACTCCCCCCTGAGCGACCACGGTCCTGCCTGAGTTCCTGTCAGTTCTGACCACTGACTCAGTGTGGTCCCCCCAGGGGAGATCACATACGGGGGCCGAGTGACAGACGCCTGGGATCAGCGCTGTCTTCGCACCATCCTGAAAACCTTCTTCTCGCCAGGCACTCTGGAGGAGCGCTGCACCTACTCCCCGTCAGGTATGTGGGGAACAGCAGGGCGAACCTGCCAGACCACAGAGGTCAAGAACAAGGGCCTGACTGTCGGCCTGCCAATTCCAGACCAATCCAAGTCCAACAAATGGAGATCAGATCGAATTAGACTCTTATTAATCATTTCATTTTGATTATTACTAGACAAGGGGTAGGTATTCTTATCCAGAAAGGAAAAGGGATTTTGCTACTCCCCAATTATCTTACTAATTAGAGGCCTGATTGGCTGAAGAGTCCTCACCCAACTTCTTGGTTGAAACAAAACTTTGGTCTAGATTTTAACTTACTGGACCTGAACTTTCTCCTTCTGGCCCTCACACTTGGGTCTGAACAGCTGACATAAAGATAATCCAAAAATCCTGCATAGACACTGGCCCTTTGTAGATAAGATCTCCCACCCTGGGCCTAGACTAATGTACTGTAAGTATTGCACATATAAAGTTCACTGTTTTAAAATTGTTTTGAGGTGATGGGACATAATGCTGGTACTTCACTGGCATGTATATCTGCTATAAACTAATCAATAGTAATAAGTAGGTCATGAACCTCATAACCGTGTTTCAGTTCTCATGGGTTTTTTTACACCGTTACGTCGCCGTTTATAAATATTCTTCCATGAATTAATGCATGCTTGTTAGCTCATCTTCTGTAGACACTCGACAGAAAGTAAATACAGCTCATTAAAAGTGAGAAGGTGTCAGAGATGCAGGCATGTAGGGTTTCCCTGTGAAGTGTCGGGATTATGCAGTGATTAAAGTCAGTTTGTGGGGCGTTTGAGACTGACGGGGGGGGGCTGGTAGGCACATCAGTGTCGCATTGCATGGGATAAAACAGCAGCATGACACATTGCAGTGCTTGTTTTTGAATATTTTCAATATCTGTTGTGATTTGTGGGATGGCCAGAGAAAAGCCGTGATTTCTTTGGTGACATTTTGTCCCGCTTGCTCCCCATGTTCCTGCGGGCAGTTTGCTCTGGCTTGCCAGCTTAATTAGCAGTGGCTGCAGAGGGATTGGCTCTCTGTCGGCACCTCGTCTAAACAGGCTTTTTGGCTTTTTTGCTGGAATGGAATATGTGTTTATATCAATGATTAAACTCTGCCACTGTTGTCCTCCGGGGCCAAAGACACGACCAATGATATGCAGTTGAGTTGGAAAAAGAAATACTTGATTGTACTGTATCTAGAGCTCAAAGTATGTTCTTTGTTGTGTTTTACTGACATATAGAATTTAGGTTGGGGCTTGTTTTTGAGGACATAATGCGTCTGTAGTATTCCAGTTTGTATGACTCACTTATGAATGATTCATATAATACAACTGGATGAGACATATTTAATTAGCTCCTCAGCTGCTTGCAGGATTACACAGTATTATTCAGGCTTACGTGTTGGAAGCTGGAAGCTTTAAACTTTATTGGTGTTTTGATTGTAAGAAATGGCTTTATGATCCCAACTGATACGACACCAAGTGAATCACAGTCAGTCACATTTCACTGAGCAGCTGCTGGGCTACATAAGATTCCTGAACTGAAACATTTGTGCCATTTGCCTCAATTGTATGTCATTTTGGGGAAATGATCAATGTAAATATGTGATTCATAAGTAGCTTGTGCATCGAAATCGTAAATCCGGAAGCGGGTTTAAACCCCAGCTGCAGGCGGTATAGAAAGCGGCGTGAGCCAGCCGTGCGTCGCAGCCGAGCCGCTACCTCGTTTGTCACGCGCCCATCTGAGTCTGTGCCATTCCACCGGAGCTGCAGACGATTTCCTCATGGTGCCTCAAATAATTATACAATGACAAGTACACTTGATCAGTCATGAGCTAAGGACACCAAAACCTTGCCTTGTTCAACCCTCTGTTGCAATTACTCGTGTTCAGCAAAAGGAAAACCTTGCAGCAGGGTATTATTATTATTATTATAAAGGTGTTCAATCGCCTCAGATTCAGTTCAGGGGTAGTAAGGTACCAATTAATAAGCGCAGCATTAAGTGGCCGATGTACTACTGAATGCTTACACTCTTTTGGTCTCAGAAGTACTATGCATGCGGAGGACTGGTGAAGCAAGCGTAGTCTATGACTTTGACAGTGAAGTTCAGTTCAAGGTCGGTCTAACGCAGCATTTGACCCAGCTGAGGACAATTTGTATTGACGACTGAACAGCAAATAAAGGGAGCTTGGAACCTGACAGCAATTCAAAACCCTTCAAATTGGTGTGTAATCAAATACAGATTTTATGTCACTAGAGGGGCGGAGCCAGATCTTATACAATGTGGTGGCCAGACCAGACCCAATGATTTCATTGACTTTCAATGGGTCTGCCAGCTCTGGTTTACAGAATTAAATACTCCAGCTTCCATTTTCTATTTTTTTGATGAGGGATGGCATACAATGTGGCCATGTATTTTAATTTTTTTAATTTATTTTTTTTTTTTGGGAGGGGGGAGGGGGCGCTGGCCTGTGTCACCAATAATGGTGTTTTATTTAAATATCAGAGCAGCACCGATACATGACATCACAGCTTTTTGTGGGTATGACACTGCAAAATTGGGTAATAGGTCATTCTCTTTAACGGAAGAGTCAGCATATTTATTAAATGATATGTTTAAAGTAATTACATAATAAGTGCCTTTCTCTGCTTATGGCAGGGATATATTTTGCCCCTCAGGCAGACAGTCTGAGCGATTACAGAGCATACATCGAGACCCTGCCCTTGATCGATGACCCAGAGATCTTTGGGATGCATGAGAACGCCAATTTGGCATTCCAGGTTTCTCACCGTCACCTCCGTCGGCTCGCAACCAATCAGCACTTTCACTCTGTTATCGCAACTCCATTGGCCGACGTGTCTGGGAATTGAGTATTAGTTGTCTAGTAGCCTACTGGTAGCAGCACAGACAGAGAAGCCAACAATTTACTGAACACTCAAAGCTACGCGCTAACGAAACACATGCATTCTATGGCAAACGTTACACGGTTACGACATTTACTATTAACATAAATACACGAATACACATGTTAATTCACACTATTCAAAGATTCATATGTAACTGCATAATTAGTCCTGCTGACTAACCTCAGGGTGTCGCGTTATGTCAGCCAGTTGTGGACAGTAGGTGGGATCAGAACTAATGAAGAAATTGCCCTCGGTGACCCTACACAGGCAATTTGCCGAAACGACGATCACCGTTCATACATCAGTGTATTGCTAGAACTAAATCGATTCCATCAATTTTGTTTCAAGTGTATAGCTACCTTTAGGTTGCCATCTAACATATCCCAGACCTCAGCACACACTTGTTTTTACGAGACAGTCAACATTCAATTCACATGAGGGTGGTTATAATGTTTTGGCTCATTGGTGGATGTACATACATACTGTGTGAATGAGCCCAGTATTAAGTCCTATGGGACCATCGTGGCAGCAATGTTTCTCAGGGGTCAATGAAAGGCAGGACTTGCTCAGACTCCTGTCCCCTCTACCTCCAGCGTCAGGAGACCATGAGTCTGATCAGCACCATCCTGGAGGTGCAGCCCAGGTCCACGGCATGCGGTGGCGGGAAGAGCAACGACGAGATGGTGCTCGAGCTTGCAGACTCCATCCTGGAAAAAATTCCCGGTGCGATGAGTAGCGAGACACATTATATGTATCTGTATTGTCAGGGGTTGACACTGTATACCTTACTTTTACCGGCTATAAGGCCTCGTAAGATAAGCTTAGCTGACGAAGCCCTCCTTACTGCTCATGCAGAGAGGCTGGACATGGATGCGGCCACAGAAAGCCTGTTCAGCAGGGATGCGAACGGCCGCCTGGACTCCCTGACCACAGTGCTGGGCCAGGAGGTGGACCGCTTTAACGGCCTGCTTGGAGTGCTCCGGGTGGGTCCCGCCCCTGAGATTGCTCAGGACCTCGTCAGACGCACTAGGGACACTGCGATTGCTTGGAAAGTTTCCCCACTAACGTGTGCGAATACTAATTACGGAATTTAACATCTTCTAAAGGAGACAAAATACATCAGCAGATTGTCTATTAAATAATGCACTTACCTCTTATCTGTCTGTTAACTTGTATTTTAAGTAACACTTTCTATCAATGTCATGTCCATAAGAATTCTGTGTTCATAAAGTATCATAAACATGGCTATAAATATATATATAGGCATAACACATTATAACCATGTTTATTTTTCTTTATGAATGCTTTATGAAGCAGTACAAAGCGTCCTTAATGCTTATACTTACAATTATAATCCATTATGAAGGTATCTATGGTGCATTACAAATGAGAGCTTCATTTGAGCATATGTACTATTATTATCAACACTTTAATGCCCTATGATTGTCAATAGAAAATGCTGCACTGCTGTATTAATTCTTATACCAACCATTACGGTACATTATAGATGACAGCTTTAAGTGTTACCGGATTTTGGATTCAGGGATTCACAGTACATGCTACACTATTAAGGCTACTGTAAACTATTGCAATCACACACGATCCAGCTACCCAGAATATTGGAATATTGGATATTTTATTGCGTTTTTCCTTGGCCATTGTGAGCTGATACCCTCTCTGTGTCCCACACAGTCCTCCCTGGTCACTTTACAGAAGGCCATAGCTGGATTGGTGGTCATGTCAGAGGAGATGGAACGCATCTACCACAGCTTCCTGAATAACCAGGTGCCGGCCCACTGGGCCAGTGCCGCATACCCCTCTCTGAAGCCCCTGGGCAGCTGGGTGAAGGACCTCACCCTCAGGACGTCCTTCATGCATGTGAGACACTTTCGCCTCTCAGTCTACGCCCCCTGACGCTCTAATCATGGTGAAATTTGCCCAACTCTCCTTTCAATTTTTGTTTTGCTAACAAGCTAACAATTTGCCACTGCATCACTATCAGACTTATCTAAAACTCCACCCCCTCACCAATCACCTATCTTCATTGTCGGTGGCCTTAAACGGCCGCGACTGACGCACCGCATCCGTAAACAGGAATCACTCACAGAGAACCAACATGGCTCCCCCTCATTGTGTTTCCACTCACACTCACAGAGAACCAACATGGCTCCCCCTCATTGTGTTTCCACTCACACTCACAGAGAACCAACATGGCTCCCCCTCATTGTGTTTCCTCTCACACTCACAGAGAACCATCATTCCGTTTCCTTCCCTTTTTAAATCCCCTGACACAGGTGAGCCAAATCTCCCCATTAATCATACCCTGCCCTCCCAAGTCAACTCTAATTACCTCACCGTGCCAAGACAGCAAAGCCAGTCCATCACGGCATGACTACGTTACTATTACAAGCCTCATTGTTCAATTCCGATTTTTTTGCTCAGATCAGAATCACCTACCTTGACGGCTCACATTCAAAACTACAAGTGACCTGTATCTAACTGCAATGTTAATGCATCTGTCCTCCAAAACAGCATGCATGTTCACATTGATATGTTTTGTCTGCGTCACCAACAAAAAAACGTGCTGGCTGATGGTGACGGCCCTCAGCCGGTGTGTGTAGGCAAGAAAAAACGCATCAATTCCCATCTGACTTTTCACATTCATGTCACATGGCCATGAATTGGATACATATATGATATAGGACCACATATGAAAGTGACGCAGATCTGATTTGAAAAAGTTGCCCATATCAGATCTGCGTCACATTCGGGCACAAAATCAGACTGGCTTCACTTCACCTTCGTAATGTGAACGCAGCCGATGTTCCTCCCAAGTCTTCAAACTTATCTTCATGTGGTTCTCTTTGAAAAGGTGGGAAGCAGGTCCGCAGGAAGAAGGAAGGATTCAAACTCAATGAAATATTGTCTTCCTTATAAATGGGGACAGGTGTAATTTGGCGAATGAAATCTTTGATCTTTTGCCTTTTTCAAAATTTTCAAAATAGAAAAAAAATCAGTTTCACGCCCAACGCATTTAAAAGGCCGTAACTCAATAATATCATGACAAATTTGCACAAAATTTACATCTGAAAGGTTTCTTTATTCTGCACATATTCCAAATTTAGCTCTCTTTTTTTATTTTTAAATCAAAGGTGTAAAAATGGCAATAAGTCCCTGATGGTATGACCTACAGAGGTGAAAGCTCTGTTGACACCTGAAAACTTTCCTGTTGGGTCCCTGTTAAAGTTTCAATTCCCCATTTTTTTTTATGAATATTCGAAACCAGCAGTTCTTTCTTGTGAGAAGCGTGGCCCTGCGGGTTTCCTTCGCAGGGGAGAAACCCTCTCACACACACTATAATATTATTTTCTTTGTTGAGGTCTTAAAAAATGTATTTTAAAGTATTGAATTTGATTTTAAAATCCGAGCAGCACCCTTGCAGGAGTGTGTTCTGTTTACTAATGGTCTTATAGATCTTGTCTACGGTGCATTAATCCTTGAAGAGAAAATTCCATTTGTTTGTCTTTGTTAGAGAAAGAATGTGGGGAAAAGCAGAGAGGAGCAGCTGTGAATTTATTATTTGTTAAACAGCTTTGTGCTTTCCATAGTTTCCCGTGGGAGATACATGAAAGAGCTGCCCCAGCTTCTGATGTTCATTGTGATGCTTGTGTTTATGTCTACAACACCAAGCGCTTAGCTGGAGGAGCAGAGCAGTGCGGTCCTGCTGCCCTCCAGAAGAAGTTAGCCTGCATTTGTACCGCTGGGCTGCACCCTGCTCGGTCTCTTGAATGACCCTGAAGCTGTCGTTCCCTGTGGCCGGCCTAGCGAACGCTGCCGCTCTCTGTTCTCACACAGTCTGGATGAGCATTCACAGCTTCTTTGATCATGAACGATGATGTTCATACGCAGTCAGCACAGGCGATAAACAAGGTCAAGGTTTCAGGAGATGTACCTTCTGTTTATTCAATTTTTCTGGAACTGATCCTTTACAAAAGGGCTGGCTAACCCCTTCCTGCAGATCTACCACCCTGCAGAGCTTAGCTGTGGCCCTAATTTAACGCAACTGACACGGATAAACAGACTGTTCAGTGACATCTCAGTATCGGAGCCAGCTACTGAAGGACCTGATTGTCTGTATCAGCTGTGCAGAGGTGGATAGTTCAGTTCCAGAAAGTAAAAGTCCAGACCAAGCTTTTGCTACAACCAACCAGTAGAGTACAGTTACAGAGTGCTCAATTGGTTGGCTGGAACAAAGTCTTGGTCTGGATTTTTCCTTTCTGAAGCTGAACTCTCCACCTCTGCAGGCGTGTTAGATCAGGGCAGCACCTGTGCTCTCAAGGGTGGTAGATTGGATGGAGGAAGGTTAGGCAGCCCTGCTTTACAAAGTCAATCTGTATCTGATCCATAAAAAGTGATGCATCACAATAAAGTATGAAAACATATCCAAAGTCTTCCTTCATCCTGCATTGTCCTCTGTCTCCTTTCAGAGCTGGATCACTCGAGGACCGCCCAAGTCGTTCTGGATATCCGGTTTCTTTTTTCCTCAAGGTTTTCTGACAGGTAGGAGGAAGTCTATGTTCAGGTTGTTAAAGAAATAACTTCAAAAAAATCTTTAAATTCAAATAAAATAGTTCGTACAAACTTTTTCATGTTAATATTGCTACCACAAATTACAGGCATATTACAGAACCACGCCAGGGCATATAACCTCCCAATCGACGAGCTGAGTTTTCAGTTCAGCGTGCTCCCTGTGTACCGCGACCAGGCCGTGGTCAGTGAGGCTCTGAAGATGCTGCCGTTGGGTAGCGAGCTGGACATGGAGACAGAGGTCAGTCAGTCACAGTGTGTCGCACATCCACACGGTAAATGACGGTAATCTGCAGCTACCTGGAACCACACTGTTCAGGGTTTATATTCAGGGGTGAACATAACTGGTACGGAAGTACGCATTCACCTTTAAGAACGATACGTGCGACAATCGATTGTTTGTAAAAGCGCGAATGCGTACTTATTTTATGTGCATTTGCACTGCTATGACAAGAAAACACCTTGCATTTTAACCCGTATACCGCAAATAAAGTCGAGTTAGCATATAAAGATTAAAATACATTATATTTTGTTTTCATAGCAGCGCAAATGGCAACCGGTGCTAATCTGCAGCTACATGAAGCCACGTTGTTCTGGGTTTATTGTCCATCATCCATTCACACAATAAATTATAGGCACTAATCTGTAGCTACCTGGAACCACACTGTTCAGGGTTTATAGTACATCACTTATTCACACGCTAGCAAATACTGCCAGAAATGGATTCAAACAAAGAGCCTTAATTTGCATGCTAAATACTAGTAATTCAAGCATAATTTGGGTTGGAAATATCAACATCAACGCTGCATGTGTTTCAGACCCGAAAAGTTGGTTGTTTTTTGTCTCACCTTAATAACTCCATAGCCTGTTGGAGCACATAGAGTGTGTTCCTCGGAAATTAATCTTGTTGTTATGATTTGCTCCTCACTCTAATCCATTACTGCTTTATTTGCTGTCAGTAGCAGTGTAAAAATGATTTAGCTCATGTGGAAGGTGGATTTTAATAAGTGGAGAGAAATGGAAAAATGAAAGGTAAGTCATGGTTTGTGTAGCTATCATGTGTCCTTCCACCTGGCCGATGGAATGCAAGCAAGACCTGAAGGGTTTACAAAGAAAATGGCATCTGCTCTCTGTGTAATAAAAAGGAAGAACCAAGTGTTGTTTTCAGAACTCGATAACTAGGTGGTAGGCTTTTTATCTTTCTTAGTATGACTTAGAAGTTCGGTAGAATGCTTGTGCAAACAATACAATCATATATCGGTGTTGTCACAACCGTCTGTACCCCGCCTCTAGCTTCCCACTCCTAAAGACGGAGTTCTGGTCCACGGAATTTTCATGGACGCCAGCCGCTGGGACGACGAACGCATGGTGATGGAAGATGCTTTGCCGGGGGTCATGCACCCTTTCCTTCCCATGGTTCACTTCGAGCCTCGACAGAATTACGTGCCAGATCCGTCCCTTTACCACGCCCCCCTCTACAAGACCTCAGCCAGGGCGGGCACTCTGTCGACCACCGGTACCATAATCTTTGCTGACTGTTTAGTTTTAACTCGGCCCTACCTTACATTTCTGGTTGAATCTTTGTGGTGAATAGTCATGATTATGTCATGATTTTTCCGCAGGACACTCAACAAACTTTGTGGTGACGTTGATGCTTCCCTCCAATCGACCCAGTGACTACTGGATCACCAAAGCCTCGGCCTTACTCTGTCAACTCAGCGACTGATTCAGTCAGAGCGCTTCCCACAGCCAGAAGCAAGGGCGTAACTTTGGCTGGAACATTAGGGGGTCGAGGTCTCTACCCATTACGGGGGAAACATGATTATTGGGGGGGGGTTATATTGGCTGGATCTAATTATTGGGGGGGGGTCATGACCCCTCTAACCCCCCTGGAAATTACGCCCATGGTCAGAAGCGTCTTCCTATCCTCCAGTTGGCCTGTCTTCCTGTGCAGGACCGGACTGGGTCTGCGCTCATTTCTTGTTGGAATTCTTTATTCGTATCACCCAGCTTTAATTTAGCAGAGCTGTGAAAGTTATGGTTTTTAGCCTCTGGTAGACAGTTGCTGTTAGTCTAGTGAACATAGGTTAAGCCGTTTTAGCGTTATTAGCATTTCTTTAGCCCTTGATTATAGTTCACAGGGAAATAGAATTGTGGGTAAAAGAGGGGAATCCTGTAAAATGAATATGTATTTCACATCGCATATATACTAAGCTGGCTCTTTAGCGGAGGAAGCTGTGTGGACTCCCTGCTGCTGTCTGTCCCCAGGGAGGGCTGATGTGGAACCAGAAGCTCAGAAGGAACAGAACCGCGAGCCGGCATGGCGCTCACCTGTTCAGGAAAGATGCACGACGTGTTTCTCTTAGTTTCTTTCACACAGACACCATCAGGGAAGCCTGAGATGTTTGTTGAGTTCAGGGCATATTGTCACCATAGGATGAAAACCATGTTGGTCCAATTTATGGAGATTGTGACTTTTTACTATAGATGGAATACGCCCATTCTCCTGTGTCTACTGATAGTGTTTACATCTAATTAACCAATGAAAAGATGTTTAATGAAGTCAAATATTTAACTAGTATTTATGTTTGGACAAGTTAACATTTGTATCCATGATGGTCGTTTGTACGTATTACTTTATATGGTTATTTTTAACATCTTAATATCTAGCTAAATAACATTATTAATTGTGAATATAAAGCGAAATCAGTTTTGTTGACACCGACATACTTGCCTTGTTAACGATCCACATTAGTCCATTTAAAACATTAAACCATTCTTTGACAGCTACGTAAAGACAGGTCTCTATTTGTGGTGCTAAGGGTGTCTTGTTACGTTGTTTTGCTTTTCTCGTAAAATAGTGTCTGAGAAAATGCTTTCTCTCGCGCTCCTGAAATGATGGATGTTTGGAGATACGTGCTTTTCATTGGACACGGACAATATGAAAAACACGGCACGTTACATCAGAGAAGGATGATGCATGACACTGCGTGTCATGAAGGCTGCGCCTGTCGGCGCTGACGCTTCAAGGGTGGGTGTAGGCGGGTGTTAGCGCCATAGCAGCTGTCTGCTCCATTGCCATTAGCTGCAACACGCTTGACTTTTAGCATTAAGACCGATCCCCCGTCATTCTCCTGGGCATGAAAAGTGGCGGAGTGCTTTGACATCAGCTAAATGTGTGGCGTAGGCGGTCAGTCTGGGTGGGGAGCAGCACCTAGACCATGAAACGCTAATGCTGCCTATTCTACACATTCATCCACCTGAGGAATGGATGCCTCATTAAAACCGGTTACCAAAGGGAAACAGGGAGGCGTATGAGATAGGTAGATGGGGGACAGGAAGACAGGGAAACTCGGGGGAGAAAAAGACTACATAAATGGAAGGATACCATTCGTCCATCTATCGATCTGTCTTCTGCAACCGCTTATCTAGAGTCACAGCAAAGGAAAGGTATTAAGGGCACCTAACGGCACGGGAAATGCAGCAGAAACATACACGCACTGCAGCAGAAAATGAGTGACGTGCTCAGAGAGGTGTCTGTCTCAGTGGAGTCATAGCTGTAGTCGTGTGCTGTGAGATGTGTCTGTCTCAGTGGAGTCATAGCTGTAGTCGTGTGCTGTGAGATGTCTGTCTCAGTGGAGTCATAGCTGTAGTCGTGTGCTGTGAGATGTGTCTGTCTCAGTGGAGTCATAGCTGTAGTTGTGTGATCGGAAGAGCTGAGGGACAACAGGAGTGAGAGGAGAGCAAAGAATGAGATGAGAGATGGAGGGAGATCCTGCTTGCAGTCCGTATGTACAGCCGTCCGCTTTTGGTTAACCCCTTGCTCACCTCGGGCTCGCAGTGAGTCAGAGCCTGTCCCAGTAAGCACAGGGTTAGAGGGGATCACTCTGGAAAGGCCTCCAGCACAAGGCGGTCTGTAAGTATCCGGTCCTCGGGACCCACAGTTGGTCCAAGTTCCTGCCGAGCTCCCTGTCAAACGGTACACATTTGTGCTCCCTCCCAGCCAGACAGTCCACTTTTTTGCTCCCTCCCAACTCCCAGTAGGAGGCTAGCAAGTGCACAGCTTTGCTTTAAGCTATGGACTGTCTGTGGGTCCCAAAGACCTGTTTTGGAAAACACTGCTATATAGTGTATCAGTATACAGTGAACTGAACTGCATTCACATTTACGTATCATCTGTCTGTCAATTAAACCGTAAATGCTTTATGTATTTGGTCGCTGCTACAATTTTTAAAATTGATTTGCGGGACTGTGTTCCTTCTTAAAATAGTCATAATGGGATCTGACAGAAATGGTCATAATTTAATTTTTAATTTAGCTAGGCATCCAAAATCTGTTCCCAGATCAGGCCATTAAGCACTAGCAGTCATAGCAGTTATTGTCTGTTATTGTATTAACTATCTGGGACAATATTCACTGATCATGACGCTTTCTTTTAGGTATATCACTGCATTTTTGTACACAAATGGAATTAATCAAGTTCAGTACAGTACAGTTTAGATAATTATTATGCATATTACAGTGAGGTCATTTCTCTACACTGTCGCCTTTCAAGTATTTGGAACCTGAATTTCGGCAGTATGCTATGGCAGTAAGATAAACAAAGGAGAAAGTGCTTTCTTCAACACCGTGCTCATTTCAGAGCCCGGAGACAGTATTTGTGAATTTCCCGTTCCGGCTGTGATATTTTGTTTACTCAGATTTCCGCGGCTCGGCATCTGGAAGACCCCCTGAGAATTTATTCACAAGACGAGAAAGGTTGGGAAATTTCCCAGAAATCTCTGGGGGAGAGGCTTAGAGCATATAACCTGAAAATGACTGATTGAGTAGCTTAGAGTATATAAACCGAAAAGAAATGGGAAATGGCTTAGAATGTATTAACTGGAAGTCAGCTGGTTGAGTTCTTAAGTGCCCAGTGACTGAATGGGAGAAGGACTGAGTCTTGCTAGGTTATAAAAGCCTATAAAATATATAAATGTATTGGAATTTAACATAATATATAGCTAGTACTTTGTATAGCACTCATTCGTATTTTTCTGCAATGTTGGTGTCATGGGGGGAGGGGGGCGCAATGCGGACTATGCCCACCCCCAAAAATGCCACCCACCAAGGACACCATCTTTTATTTTAATTGCATTTTTTAATATAATAAAATGAAAGGATCTTCATCCTAACACAGATAAACCGTGTCTTTCCCAGGGGCATGGCTATGGATCGTCTGCTTATCTAACACGCCCCCCCCCCCCCAAAAAAAAGAAAAAAAACACCCTTAAAATTCCTCCTATCATATTTGTTCTGGCACTGGCACTATTTTTCTGCAAAAAGCAAAAAGGTGGTTCTTCCTAAGTTTTAGGTCTCCTCCCTGAATTCCTTGACATTAAAACCTGAGCTAAGGTCATTAAAAGAGTTCACAGGCTGATCAAGAAGAAAATTAGACTGATGATAATTTGCTCAGGCACTTGATGCGGGCAGCTGCTCTCTCTGCTGATTAAAAGCAGGCCGTCTCGTGCAAGTTTATGAGGACCCGTCTCGACACATCTGTGTAGGANCAGGGGATTCTGGGCTAACAGATCAGTCAGCGTCAAGAGAAAGCACGTTAGATGTATGAAGAGGAGAAACAGCCGGGGGGGGGGGGGGGGCTGTTCTGTATGTGTGAATGGATTTCAGAGATCATTAAACTAGGTTGGGAAGTACACAACTCTGTATTCTACTATGGTCCATAAAGCTTGCTTTGCTCTGTGTGAACTGCGGCCATACCTTCTGATTTCAAATTAGCACTTCAACCGGTATGAAGTCTGGGAAAGACTTGGAAGTGATCTACATGCCTATTAGAGGAGGTGGTGATATACAATGGAACAAGACATACAAGGTCTAATATAAGACTTAAAATATATGGCAATGCGAGGCAGACTGAGGCAGACCGAGGCAGACCGAGGCATTGCAGCGATGACGGCGAATGACGAGATGGCTTATTTAGGGGAGAACGACAGCCTTTTATTAAATCCTGAAAAGGACTAATGCAGGCACCCAATCAGCATGGAGCTGAACACCGTAGGGAAATGGAGGGAGGGAATTCACCCCTTAGCTTCCCCTCTGCACGTTGGCCAAGAGCACATCTGGAAGTGAGGCACCCGCTGCACCGTCAGGCTCACACACGGTGGGTGATTCACACAATGCTGAAGACACGCCAGGACTGGACATACAAGCCACACATACAAGTTACAACTGGGAAATACAAGTATTAAATATAGCAATACAAGTGGCTATTTACAATTGCCCGCCATCATATAATGGTGAGTATAAGCCATTATAATGCATTATGAAGGTATTTATAGTACATTATAGATGAGAGCTTCATAGAGCATTCAGAATGCATAATAAACATGGCTATAATGTGTTATGCCTTTTTATAGATTTTTATAGCCGTGTGTATAATACTTAATGAATGCATTATAATGCATTATACATGACTGCTTTAAGTAAAGTGTTACCTCTTTTTCCTTCAGTCCCTTATAACCGTAAAACTCTATCAGTCAGTAAGCCATCTAAACATAAGTAGATTAAATAATTATAGGGCTTCACAGGGCTGCACTTGTTACCCAGTTGTGAACTTACAGACCATACTGACCTTGGGCATTTGCTGATGTGACTCACCTCTTCACCACATCACATTTAATTTATTTGAATATCATAAAAAATGTACAGAAATGGCATCTTTAAATGAAG